AATAATAATAATAATAATAATAATAATAATAATAATAATAACTTTATTAGTGTCTCTAATCTTCTAGCCGGGCACAAGTGCCCTACTAATCGGGGTGTACCCTATATTGGTACTTCAAGTACGGATCCAGGAGGGATGAATTGGATGGGTTTTTTTTTTTTTTTTTGGACTTTTCTCTCATACAGTCGGACGGACTTAACAGTTAGTTAGTTCGGCTGCACGCAGGCTAACGTTCTCTGGTTCAGAATTGTTTAAGTGTGAAAAATCGTTGGGCAAGCGCAGATAGACAGTACAACGCAACCACTTAAAAAAAGATATGTTTAATACTCTAAAAAAATTCAAAGTCATACAACCGAAACCCGTTTTGACTGAGCTTGGGTTGCCTGTGGAAAGAGAAGTGGATTTTCGTGTTGTTATGCCCAATCTCCCGCGGCGGGTTATCGAAAAAGGTTTTAGCTTGAAAACAATCTACAACACTATGAACATAATGTAGAATACAAGCATAGTTCTTGAACTTATAGCTGAGTTTTGTACAAGGACATGAAAACCTTAGCGCTTACGCTCAAAAACAAAGCAATATTGTGGGAAAACAATAACAAGTTGAATCAGCACCACCTCGAGGTTCCTGGGATAGGGAAAGTACCGTGATGTTACTTCCTGTTACTATTAATGCTACACAACATCAAGTGAAATTACAATACTTTCGTTATGACATTGTTTTTCCCTCTAGTAATACCGATGGATACACACTAATTATCTTGGATATGGCCGCAGAAAACTACGGGAATCCTACGGAACAACAGCTCAATGATATCAATGATATTATTGCACCTTTTTTAGACGGTATAGTATAAACTGTATAGTTTGACAGATTGAGATTCCTGAATCCTTCTCGCAAACGGCAAACATGACCACGTCTTTATCGTTTCCCTACATTTCACTTTACCATTACCAAAGATGTTTATCTAGTACTAATGGGAGATTTTTGTCAAATATCTTTTCCACTAAGAATCTTTCAATGCTCAACTGAAGTTTCACGTTTGCCAACTAAACGAAAATCTTACCACTGTAAACTCTCTATTAGCACGAATTCAGCCTGAAGAGCTAACTAGTCGATGGAGGGATTCCAAACGATTGCTACATGCTGTCTAGTCATGCTTTATTGAACCTATGTAAGAAACTACATTATTTCATAGAATTATTTCAAGCAGTCTTTAATGAGAGGTATTATTTGTGAATAATTCCAATTGGTTTCTTGTAGCAATGTCAATGCCTCAGCAGTTTCCTAACTATTGAGCTGACTTTCGAAACCACATTCTATAATCTCGAATTAACTGCAGCTAGTGTAGATTAATTATACGTTGAAATTAGATCACTTGAATTATTTAGTTCTGAATGAATAGATATAGGCATATTCTCATTAGACACTAAATTGTGATTTCTTGATATTTTTGAGTATTGACTGACCATAAAAATAATATAGTCAAGCCTCTATTGGCAGTTACAATGGCCAGTGACTTGGCTACTCAGAAGGTGACTGCTTAGATTATAGAGGTTTGACTGTAGCAGGAATCAGATTATTATTAATTAAAAACACAAGTGTATGATATCTAGTTCACTAATTCTTGTACTTTAATATTTTTGAAATTTTGTACTATTAAGGAGGCTGTCACTGATAAGGTATTTGAGGTGAAACAAAAGCTGTCAAATATTCTTGTTTTTATAGTCATAGGTTAATGGGCATTACAAATGCAACTTGTCAGGACATTGCTAACTCACAGATTGAACATCCTGAAATGTCCTCTTGAGTGATCAAAGTCAGGGTATGGTTAACTCAAAGATCATACCTTACAAACCTGTGGACTGATTACATTTACATTTACCAGTTAGGTCATTTGCTCAATACTGAGCATTTTAGACCATGCTAAATAGTTATTAAAATAATTAAATAATAAACATATTAATAATAGAATAAATAATAATAATTAGTAATTGTCCATTAAGTTAATAAATGTCTGCAACTGCATTCTTAAATGCTGCAGTGAGGTTGCTAGTGCTGCTTCCTTTGGGAGTTGGTTCCATTCTGAAATTGTTCTTGGGTAGAATGAGTACTTGTAATAATCCTTTGTGGCCATAGGCTGAGTATACACATACTCCTTATTGAAATGGATAGAATAGGAATGACAAAGTGGCTTGATTCTAACGTCATCTTGACAAACCAGCTTTYGTATCTTGTAAATCATAGATAGTCGTGCTTCCGTTCAAGTGTCTTCCACTTCAGTACTGAAAGCATTTCAGTTACACTGTCCTCACAATCAAAGTGTTTCAGGACCCAGTGTGCAGCTTTCCTCTGAACCATTTCAACCAAAGGAAAGTAAAGGAAAGTGCGAATTTCAGTCTTTCGTTAATATATATGCATGAATATATCAGGCATATACATGAACATATCGTTAAATACAATGCAGTAATAGAGCTGGTAACTTTGGCCAAAAATAGTTTTTGCTAAGTTTTGAATCCTTTTACTAACCAAGTTTCATTCCACTTCATTGGTTTGGATATTTAAATATATTTATTTCAATTGATACAATGTGTCTTAGTAGGTCAAGATTCTTGTGCTGTACTTCAAGATAGAGAGTAGTCACGTCAGTAACTGAATATTATTTCTAAGCACCTGCATTTGTATAGTTTTTTTATGAATCCATTACTAATTGAGTTTTATTCCTCTTTATTGGTTTGGATGTTTAAAAAAAACACTTTAAGTATACATAAAAAGAATAAATTGGCAACCCAGTGCAAGCTCCAAGAGCAATGTCTTGTTGATTTATAGTTAGCATGTTTGGTTTTGTGAAGGGCRGAAACCATTTTCTAATAGTGACATACCTAAATAATTAATCCTAAAAACTTCAATACTAAAAAAATATTTCTATTTTAATGATCACTGGCTTTCAAAAGTGGTATATAAAATAGATAACTATAATACTAATTCTACATGGAAATTTAATGGTGCAAAATGAGCTACAACTGACAAGAAACAGAAACTACTACATAAACAAAATATTAGATACATCATTATCTATATTTTAAATCTTTCACAATTTAATCATGGTATTTTCATTATAAAGCTATTATCAGTTACAGTAGTATTATAATCGAACATCAAAAACATTTTTATCAATATTTTAGTATTGATCGAACCAAGATAATCCACAAATGAGATTCAATAATTAAGACAAGATGATATAATTGAAGGTAGTGAATGCGTCTACAGACCAGCGAGTTTCATGAATAATTTAGTCTGGAACATAGATTCAGAGTAAAATTCAAATGAATTGGCAGATACTGCAAATGCAGCAGATTGCAGATGTATCCCATTTGGTCCGGCTTTTGGTTTTTACTTTGGATCATGGATCTAAATTCTCTTCAGAAATGTTTTATGCTTGTTTTCATCAGCAGTGGACAAAAATACAACTGTCAAATTATTTATGAATTCTGATTTTGCAACTTTTTTAGGATCGATAGATTTGGGCATTTTAAAATTAAAATTTTTATGAATCAATTAATTTGCATACCCATACTCACACCATCAATAATTTTAAGTTCACACATTTTACTTCCCATTTCATCCCATTTTTAAATTACTATAATAGTGTATGTGGTACATTAAGATTTTACTTACGTTTTTCAGCTTTGTTTTTCTGGAAGGCTAGTCAACTTAATAAAAAGTAGATATTGATGACTGTCAAGCTATTTTATATTAACATCTTGATCTAAAAATCCAAAAACCAAATCATTCAAAAAATTTTTTAAAGTGCTACTATGACGAAAATCGCTCAAACTTGGATTCA